CATTCTCAGAGAGATAAACTATTGCTACTTTAAAGTAAGAACACAGTAACATTTTAAAAATTATGTAAGAAATAACCCTTGAAAATTAAAAATATGATAGCTAAAATTAAAAAATCATTAAAACAGTTGGAAATGTAGTTAAAGAATTTTCTCTAAAGGGAAACCAGAGATAAGGAGACATAAAATAGAGAGGAAAAAAATAATCCTAGCTCAACATGGGAGCTTCAACAAGAGATCAGAAGTTTCAAAAAGAGAGAAGAGAAAAAAATGGTTAAAAGGGAATTATCAAAGAAATCATACCAGAAACAAAGGCCCTAAATTTCCATATGGAAAACTGCCATTGCAATGAAATCACAGACAGAGGACATTGCTGTGCAGCTTCAGAATACGGCGGATAATCTCTCCAAGGCCATATCAGAAGGTAGAGCACGAGGCAGCAAAGCTTTCAAAACTCTGAGTAGAAACTATTTCAACATGGAATTTTATAAGTAGCCAAGCTTTCAATCTTATGTGAGAATAAAGATTTTTCAAATATTCAGGTGGTCTCATTAACTAACTGATATCTTATCTCAGGAAGTAAGTGGGGGATGGGCTCCTCAAAACTGGAAGAAAAGCAAGAAAGCAATTATTTGATTTCAGAAACTGCTAGTAGACACCGAAGCAAGTCAAAGGGGAACCATGAGGACGATTTTTAAAATATAAGTCCCAGGACAGCACTGTTATAGACGAAATGTCTGTGTCTCCCAATATTTATATTTTGAAACCCTAAAAACCCTACCCTCCAATGTGATGGTATTAGGTCGGGCCTTTGGGAGGTGATGAAAATTAGATATGTCATAAGAGTGAAGTCCTCATGAATGGGATTTGTGACCTTATAAGATTCATGAGACAGCTTGCTTTCTCTCTCTGCTCTCCACCACGTGAGGACATAATGAGAAGTCAGGAGTCTGCAATGTGGAAGAGGTTCCTCACCAGAACTTGACCTTGAGGGCACCCTGATTGCAGACTTCCAGCCTTCAAAACTGTGAGAAATAAATTTCTATTGCTTGTAAGCCACTCAGTCTATGGTATCTTTATTTTAAATGTATTTTATGGATTTTTTACAGAGAGCAAGGGAGAGGGATAGAGAGCTAGAAATATCAATGAGAGAGAAACATCGATCAGCTGCCTCCTGTACACCCCCTTCTGGGGATGTGCTCGCAACCAAGGTACATGCTCTTGACCGGAATCGAACCTGGGACCCTTCAGTCCGCAGGCCGATGCTCTATTCACTGAGCCAAACTGGTTAGGGCTATGGTATCTTTGTTATAGCTGCCCGAGCTGACTAAGACAAGCACCTATGCAATAGGTCTAGAAAGCAACCAATTCAAATTAGAGTATGAGAATGAAGGGTTCCAGGAGGAATAATTGCAGGGGGAAAATGATAGAAAAGGTAGCTATGACAGTTTGGTCTCAGTGCAAAATGGCACTGAATGGCTTTCTTTCTTTTTTCTTTTCTTTTCTTTTCTTTTTTTTTTTTTTACAGAGATGTTAAAGAATACTTTAAGATTTAGGATTGAAGAAAAACAAGCATGAAACAATAAGATCGTCATTACAGAAAACCAAAGAATTATGCAAAATGGAATTATAGTCTTTTCACAGCGCTTGATTCAGCAGTGAATTGTTACCATAAAAATACACATTAACCATAATTTACCATATACTGAGAGAATGGGGTAGGAGAAGAAGAAGTAGAAATATAAGAGAATTAAATCTTCATCACCATACCAAGTAGAGCAAGTTACTATCTAAAGTCGGTGACTTGAAAAATAGCAAAATCACTGTGTTATTTGGAAATGTAAGTGCAAATACAAGAAAGCAGGAATGGAATGTTGAAAAGAGTTTAATTGAAATTGCAGAATTAGGGAATGATCAAGGGAACAAAGTTTGCTGATAACTTTGTTATAAGCTTTTTACCACTATTTGACTTTTTTTTTGACTTTGATAAAGATTGGATTTATTTTTAAAAATAAAATGAGGTAGTCTTTCCTTCAGTATACTAAAAGATTAATGTTTTATTTCTGCTATCCATTTATCACCTATTAAACATTATTCATATACTGCCTTTCTGATACCACCTTTCTGCTTGTATGATTTCTATATTCTGCTCATATGTGAATGAATATGTCATATATCTGAGCAAAAACTGTACCCACAAATTCTGGAAGGCACTGAGTTTTCTCCTAAAAGAAAATGCAGCTTTCCAACTCTTAAAATTTCAGTTAGGGAAGAAATAATTATCAATCTATACTTTAAAATATACTTTAAAAAGTTTTAATGATAATGAACTCTAATTTTTGGAAGTAAATTTAAATAGCTGACTCAATTTTTCATTTGCAAATATTATGCATTCCATTTCTTACACTACTATGAATTTTACCTTCCTGAGAAAGGTACAAATAGATTTCATTATGACTTATATGAGACCAGTAAGTAGAGGTTTTGGACAATTATCTATATCTATTTTCCAAAAAGATATAATTAAAAATATTAAATGTATGAGAATTAGAGGGGTTTCAGGCCTGAATGAGGATTATAACCAAGAATTTCTGGGACAAATATTTCATTTAAATACTTTTTGCTATTTTTTTTATGGAAGCTAAATTTTCACAATAATACAGTATTTAAAACTAATACCAAAAGTAGAATATCATTATTCTCTCTATTCTCTACTTACTTGCTATGTTTTCTTTTCAGCGTATCAATATTTCATAACTTCATACAGTTCTCAATAGTTTTTTTCTTGCCTTTTCCCCTAAAGTTTCTTGAGAAGTTGCTAACCCTGGCTCAGACCTATTCTTTCTCTTGTGACTTTAGAAAGGAAAGGCTCCAGCCAAGAGGGGTTCGAACTGTGCCCGACACTGAAGGCCTTTGGAAAGCAACTTAGCAACATGCCCTTGACTTCAAGGCCAGTTTGAATCTTCAATATAAGAAAGAATGTGAAACAAGAGCACAATTGATCTTCAAAACAGTCTACACTTTATATTTAGAAGAAAAATGCCTACAACAACAGACATTTTAAGAACTGGGCATTTTGTGTTGGACGCCCTTCCTCCATTGCCAGGAAATATTCTGCAGTCAGTACACTTGCAAAGCAGTCTCATGGAACATCTGTCCTGAAATTGTAATACAATAGGAACTAATGTTTAAAATAATCCCCATGAAATTAAGGATTCAAAATAATTCAAGTCAAGATTCCATTCCATGTCATTAAAGAATGGAAATTGGACCATAACATTTTGGAAGGATTTTGTTTCAACCAAAGTATTTCTTCTGGGATCTTTGTTAGCAGGAAACCATATCTAAGCCCATCTAAACAATTCTGTTTAAATCCCCTGCTCTTCTGTCAATGTTTATATTTAACAAACTGCACCACCATCCAGCCAATAGATCAATCCAGAGGCCAGACGTTGTATGGCTCAAGTTGACTTTTACCCCCTTCCAATAGTTCTCCATATCCTACTCGTTGTATTTCTTAAAAGCCTGTCAAAACAACTACTTCTCTCTGTCTGTTACTTTTGAAATTTCTATTGTACTAATCCCCAACACTGCCACAAACCTAATGGCCTCACTGCACTCTGCTGATCCTGCTCCTCCAGGCTGAAAACCTTCATTAATTGTGAAATGCTAACCCATTAGCATATATTTCAAAACCCTCCATGATTCATTCCACTCTGTCTTGCATGATTTGCTAGTTGTCTCAACCTGCCTTCTCCTTCCTCTCTTTCTTTACACCTGGTGCACTATAGCTCCAATCGCTTGCTTACCTGCTTTGCCACAAGCTGCTTGCTAACACTTCCTCCAAAGTTGTTCCCTCTTTGTTAGCCTATTTGTCCTTCAGGTCTGTTTTCAATGCCATTTCCTCAGAGAAATCTTTATTGATCCCTAATATAAATTCATGAAAGGTAAACATCTTGTTCAGATGCTTAGGTTCTTGGTTGGCCTTCAGCTGCAGCCGTGTGATAGGAGATACCAATGGTTTTAGAAAATGAACAAATTTCAAAATGAGAAAAGTTTATCCATTATTTAAGAATATTGAGGAAAACTCTATTATTAATTTTGACTGCACATTTTGGGTTAACTAACAAAACACCAGAGCAAGAACTAAAATTTTTTGCAACCTCATATTAAAAAATAATCGTGCTGTGGCCTCAATCTTTTAATCACTATTTGAGTGGAATTCCTTACCTGTACCTTTGTTTCAAATGAATTAATCAATTTTTGGTTAAATATTTATGTATAACAAAATTTAGCATGTAGTTTCAAAACCTACCCAAACTTTCACATCAACTTTTTCATAATTGTATAAGTGGGCAGCAGTATTAATAGAAGAGATATATAGAATTGGAGAGAGGGGTACATGTTGACCAAATACTTTTACATACTACTTTATGTTCTCAAGTATATTATACGAAGTACCTGACTAGAACTTAATTTTATTCTCAAAACTACTCCAAGAGGCAGGCAAAGGGATATCATCATCCTTTTTACACAGACAGTTTGTTTGTTTGTTTGTTTGTTTTTCAATGGCTCACCCAAAGCCACCATCTATTAAGTCATGGATTCTGACTTAGAATTCAGGACGTTGGACTGCAAGTTCAAGACTTTCCCTATGTATCTAATCCTGAAAATTCAAGATATTAATTTCTTTAGGGTAACAATGCTCTCTCCAGCTATTCCTATTTTAAAATGCAAACAATTCCCTGAAGATTACATATGAAAGCACACCTATGTGTAAATTAATTTATCACATCATTTCCCTTGTCAGAGGGATGTACAGCTAGTAAGGAAGATTTATTACCAGTGATGGCGGCTGACGTAAAGGTTCTCACAAAAATAGGAGTAAGGGACACATTAAGGAACAGACGGGACAGAGTACCATTCTTCACTCCAAAGCCTTTCCCTTTCCCAAACCCCACAATGCTCCTGCTCATGGAGCATCATTTTCAGTGGATACTTACATTTCATCACACCTTGAATTTCATAAACAGGCTTGAGTATCAGAGCACCATAAAAGCCTTCAGGGAATGGATTCGGTAAGTCCCACTTATTTGAAAAATCTGTAAGTTTCACAGTTCGTGTCCTGTTCTTTGGAATCTTCCATTCAACGATCTCCTTTAGAGTATAAATACGTTCATCTTCACACTCGTAGAATTCTCCTTCTTGTGACAAAGGCAAAGTAAACGAGTGGTTTTGATGGTTTCTTACCACACCACAGTTCACCACTATTTCTTCATTGATTTCTTCAACTGAGTTGAGCATGATTTCCTCACCTTGCTTGATGACAAGATTCTCTAGTTCCATATCCTTCTGATGATAGAAGCAAGGATGCCCTAGTCTACTTGATCCAATATGGATGGTCCTTATAATTTCATCCATAGTAAGGTATGGAGTTTTATCCGCCACAATCTTAAAAAGACCTAAGAACAGAATTGTGTGAATTAAAGAGAGTTCTTACAATGGAAGTTATCTATGAAAATCACAGCAACAACGTTATAAAACAAGTATAATGTAGCTTTTAAAAGTAATGTATCTTTTTTTAAAGATTAGATATACTTCTTTGAATCCTGAATTCTTTTAGGAAAAATTTTTAATGTATTGTGTGTAGATTACTGGATCACCAGACCCAGGCAACATAAATGGAGACAAGAAAAAAATACCATGAGAGAGAAAAGGCCCTGTTCTTGGAAATGGAAAATCTGGATGAGATACTGATTGTGTGATATTGAACAAAGCATTTAATCTCTCAAGATCACATTTTTTAAAATGAGAGGATTGGATTAGATCAATTTTCCCATAACTATAATCTCCAGACACACCAGAATTAAGAGATTCTGTAAGGAAACTCGTATGGTAAATTAATAATTACAAAAGCAATATACCTAGAACTAGATACTGGTGATGGTTGTACAACATTGTGATTGTACTTAAAGACAGTGAAGTTTACACTTTAAAATGGTCAAATTTTTTCCAGTGTAAAGGTTGGCATGATTTAGAGCACAGGAGTATGTACAGGAGCAGTTTGAAATGCATAACTTGTGGTGGAGAAAAATGTGCATAAAGAGAAGAAAAAGTGTTGGCGGTCAGCTGGTGATGATAAAAATAAGGGTGAAAACTCAAGAGTCCAGTTATTTTTATAGTTGATCTTTGCTCAGAAAAATAAATTTTTGGTTAATTGTAGATATAAACTTCCTGGAAAAGTGTGGGTGATGTAATCTTGGTGGGAATGAGTAAGGTAGCATGTACGATCTGTCCTGAAAACTTTTAATAGTGTTCATCCACTGCTGGTGTACTTGAAGATTGTAAGGCAAAGAAACATTTACTTTGAAGGAACTTCTTATTTTATTATGTCTTGTGTCAGGAAAAATCTAATAAAATAGTATTCGTGAATTCTCCACAGTAAATGAATTTGTGTGTGTGTGTGTGTGTGTGTGTACGCACATGAGAACATGTGCATGCCCGCAACATTTAATCTCACTTGTCTGTGTGTGAAGATTTATTTCTAAGAGTCCACAATCATTATCAGGGTGTAGAAATTTCAGCAGTTTTTGTGAAATACGTTTTGAAAAAATAGCTACCTAGAATCTCATAAATACTAGAGACACACTGTTGTTTTTTCTATCCTAGGTTTATTGATGACATAAGTCATAGAAAATGAATTTAGCATCTTCTTTCTTGGGGAATTGGGTTCACCTAAGGTAATAACAGACCTAAAATGTTATGAAGTAGAAAAAGCCTGAAACCCTAAGGCCTACCATTATTTCAAGTTAATCACACACTTCAGAGCTGTCTTGTTGGATGTCTCTATTGCAAAAAGAAAAAAAAAATCCATCTATATATCTGTGTGTTTTCCCATAGAAAATGATTGAGTACCCGGTTTAGCATACTAAGTGGCAGAGCACACAAAATTTTTGATTAACTTATTTCTTCATATACTATTATAGCCAATCCAAAAGTCCCTCCTTATATATAGTCACTTAATACCATATAAATTAGAGCAAGCTATAAATATATATAAAGGAAATTCTATTTCACAGTAAACTAAAGCACCATAGGCCTGATCAGGTTTAAATTAGACCAATACTTACTCCATCTTTTTCACAAAGAGTATAGTAGCTTTCACTGGGGAAAAAATGATTTGTTATTCTTTCAAATGAAAAAAACAACAACCACATTTTAGGAGATACCTGATCATGAGAGTGATTACAAAATAAGCCAATGTGAAACTTTATAAAATAAGTTAAAAAACAGAAAATAGATTTGTTTCCAAATTTGTCTCCTATTATATTATTATTTTTAAATTATAATAAATTGTTTACAAAGAGCATGTCACAAAAGAAACAAGAAACTGCAATAAATTGATCTGTTGAAAATTAGTCAATAATTTAATTTAGTTTGTAAGATCTTGACTCTGAATCTTAGGTTTTCAGGGAGTTTACATTTTTAAGTAATTCTTAATGATCTGCAATCATTGTTATTTATAGTAATAGTAACAAATGAAATTTGTTCAGACATTTACTTTTGGAGAATTTTTTTCCTTTGCATCATTTATCCTCACCATACTCATTTAAGGACAGTAAAACTATTATTATTACTGAGTGATATGAAAGTAGTCATGATTTTCATAGTCATAGCTCTAGAATCTCAAATAAGAATTTTATGCTCTTGCCACCACACTAGGCCTCCTCATCACACAACTTACTTGTAAAGACATTGTTACTGAAAACATGTTTATTCCAGTTCACGAAATATACATACACGTCTCTAGAGCTGGCCCTTCCTTCGCCTGGGTCAGCCTTTGCAGACCCTTCAATATGAGAAGAGCAAGAATAATTTCCTGGTTCACTGTGCAGAATTTGTGCTCTTCAGATGTTTTTTATACTTTTTTCTCTTTCTGTCTCATCAATTCATTTCCAAATAGGGAGTAATTTTAAAAATTAAATTTTCTAATGATATATCACAATATTATCTAATATACATATCATGAGATCATTGTGAATTTAGAATCTTTTTACTAGTCTAATCTTTAGCTTGATTTCCCAGTTCCAACCAAATATATTTCTTCCATCTCTAAAATTGTCATAGAGTGAACTTCACCCAGTAAGTCTCATCTTTCTCTCATATCATTAACATTAGAATTATTAAAACATTAGCATCTTAAAATGTGCTATAAATTTAAGACAAAATATAATTTTCAAAATAACAATATGATATTAGCATCTTAAAATGTGCTATAAATTCACATTTAAGACAAAATATAATTTTCAAAATAACAATATGAGGTAGCTACAGATAAAACACAAACATTTCACAGACAAGCACATGAATGTTTGAAGAGAGGCCATACATTTTCCATCATCACATGGATCATTAGAGACTGCCATGCTCTTGTGTGTCTACAACTCAAGGGCTTAATCACAGAGCTACACATTTCACCCTTTGACTATTATCTGAAATCATACTTTGTTTATCTAACCTTTTATTAGTTAACAGGAATGGTCCAAGGTGGGTGTCTACCCTGCTTGTGGATGCAGAAAGACTGAGAACTTTTAAAACTAACAACATAAGAAGGTGAACTTCACTGATGTTAAAGATATTGATGGGCATTACCTGTTCACATGCCAGATGGCCACATGCTGGAAGGTGTAAGTGAGGCCTCTGAGGAGGCCTGGGGACTATACAAGGTGAAGGGGTTGACTGCTGCACACACCAGTTCGAGTGTTTTCAGTGTGCTGCAGTTACCTGCCATATTTAAGTGGATTTCTATAATGTATTATCATAGTTTTAAAATAAAGCAACCCTCACAAAATGAATAAATGCCTTTAAACACTTCCTGGAAGAAAGCCATGTATTGAAATTAAAACTAATATAACCACAAGAACAACAAAAAATGGCAGAGTTGACATTTCAACTCCCACTCAAGCTTTTTTTCAGCCATATTGTGTGATAAAATAATGGTGCTCTAGTCTAATAAAAAATTAAAGTAGCTGAAACTTCTTTAACACAATTTATCAAACTATGGATTCCTATCCATTCTCATTATAAAGAAACTTGCCTTGAGATACAGGTAAAGGTATGTCAAGTACACACACAGTGTTAAATTAATACACATATATTTGGGATGCATGCTTGAAAATTTCAAATGCACTGAGCTATGTGAAGAAGATTTGGAGATAAGTCAGACTGCTATAAATTTATGGTCATGTGTTTGTCTCTCTGGCAATAAAGCAAAGTATGTCTCAGTTATTTTTGTGAGTGTGTGCGTCCACCTCTTAAAATGTTTGTTCTGCAATTGAATTTCTAAGCAGCCTTGTTTTATACTTGCCTGTATAAATTTCTCACTTCACATGCTTCTTGTGGCTTTTTTATCATTTGTTATGTTCCCAAGACAATTCTTAGGTTAGCATAACCTACAAAATCTTCAAGACTACCCCAAATCCACTATTTTCACTAGAAGTTCTAGCTTAAGCATGTGTATTCAACTTCAGATGGAAATGGAGTACATGAAATAACCTACCAAAGCAAAAACCTCAAAACCTTGAGTGAAGGATATATCTAGTGAATGATATCTAGTAACATTTTATATAATAATGTTATTAAACATTATATAATAAATAATAATAATGTTCAAACTGTGAGAAAATTCTCCAGATTTTACAGAGTCAATTTTAGGATTATTGAATATCATCAACCAATGAGTGATTCTAATGGTCTCCACAAAAGAGTATAACCTACCAAAGCAAAAACCTCAAAACCTTGAGTGAAGGATATATAATGATATCTAGTAACATTTTATATAATAATGTTATTAAACATTATATAATAAATAATAATAATGTTCAAACTGTGAGAAAATTCTCCAGATTTTACAGAGTCAATTTTAGGATTATTGAACATCATCAACCAATGAGTGATTCTAATGGTCTCCACAAAAGAGTCTCCAACAGCAGAAAGAAGGAATATGAAGAAAGTCAAAGTTCATGATAAGAAAATTTTGCATAGGAATTTAATTGAGAAATTGGGAACGGGAAAAAAGACATAGCAAAGTTGTGACCATTTTTTTAAAAATGTTAGATGAGAAAAAATAAGGCTGTAGAATTTCTATACTTAAATGTCTTTAAATTTATAATGGAATAGAAATTGTTTATAATAGCTACTAAGAGTTTTTAATACTTCTTTTACCTGAAGGTAAAAAGAATAATCATAAAACCTACCATTTTATTTTTAACTCTGTGTCAATTATTGCATTACAAAAAGACCTCTTTTCTCAAATAACACTTAAACTCCTTGAAAGGAGTGATGCTGCAATATCTAACACATTTGGGATGTTTAAAAAATAATTTACACTAATAATGTTAGGTCTTGAAACCAAATGATATAACTTGGTATCTCTGCCTAAATCTCTAGCTTACTTATAAAG